GAAACATATAAACAAAATGAGTGAGAAAATAACACCTTGTTCTACGCCCTCCGTGACATTCGATATTAAACTTTTTACTCCAAAACTGAGAAATTCTGATAAAGCATGCTTTCTTCTTTAATTTCCTCGGGGGATTTTTTAAATTCGATCTAGACTGCGAAATATTTATGTTTGAATAACAGTGTTTTAACGCGCGTAAAATAGTATACTCTCACTTGCACTATCTTAACACACACATAAAAAAATTGGTAGATTTGGCAGTTTAAACTTATTTTCCCCACACCACAGCCGAAATATTTTTAAATATTACCTATATCATCTCATCTCGCATCGGAAATGCGTCACAACGATCCAGGACAGCATCGCATGACTCATACACACTCATTACTGTACATATCCGGTTGGCAAAATGGCGATTGTCAGACCTTCGCGAAATGCTTATTTTTGCTAACAAACTGTTCACGAGGGTTTCGTTCTGTTCGTCTTCTGGTTCATCGTCATCGGCTGCCTCAATTTCTTCGTCGCTTTCGTCCTCTCTAAAGCGAGTCGCCGAGGCAAACAGCGTTAATATTTGCTGTCTTTCCAAGGCCTTCCAAGAGCTTCAACATTTGCCAACGTTGTTGCTTGACAAACTGTCCAAAGGTTAATCCAAGTGGATTAACCTTTTTGCAGGCAGGTGAATTGCATTTTCTATGATGGAAATTTATACAGATCTTTATAGTCAGTTTGTCCTTGGAAATTGTTCCAAAATATGAGTATGTACTCATATTAATCTCTAGAACATGCTGGGACAATGTTTTGAATCACTGCAGTTTAGAATTAGCAGTCCTTTTAAAGACAACAGAACTGGCAGCCATAGCAATTAGCACCCCATAACTATTTAGTGTACAATACCAGTCAATGTAAATTACCACCTCCCCCAACCCAGAAGTTGGCAGTTTTTACTTCTCAGCAGTCAGCACTGCATAATCAAAATTGCTGGAATGTGTAAATATCTGGTTTTGTCTCAGGGCCTGTTTATATGTATGATCCCGGCCAGGTGGACGGGGTGCTTACCGAGATCCCGCTCATAATACAAATTCTAAAGAGTGTTTATATGATCCTGGCACCACTTATCCCGCCTAGGCGGGATCTCGGCAACAGATGCCAGGATCCCGCCTAAACGAGATGAAAAATTCCCATACAAACACTTCATCCCGCCTAGCTGGGACGAAAAATTCCCATATAAACACTTCATCCCAGCTAGGTGGGATGAACTTTTCCCTTTTGAGCATGCATAAATGCCTTTATTGCAACAAAAATATGACGTCAAGCTCACTTAAATGGCTTCATCCAGGCAATGTATTTTGTCCATATAAACACTAGGCAAATTTCCCATCTAGGCGGGATGAAAACTTCCCGTCTAGGCAGGATCATATAAGCAGGCCCTCAGTGACCCTGCTTTGTCCAATGGCCCCCACACTTCCTAGATTTGAGCAGGCAGGGAGTTATATTGTCTGGTACCGGTACATAGTTTACCATAACCACAGGATATTATTGAAAGATTTCCCTACCAATTTACTGCCTCTTTTGAAATTGAAGATTTTTAAAAGCATTATAATTAATATTTGCTCTGTCTGTGTGTTACTTTAAGAGTACCCTGGTTCTAGAGGCTCTTTGCGAGGTGAAAGAAACAAGATGTGAGAACGGAGAGCCTCTGGTCACATCAGGGCCGTATCACCAAGGGGGCAGTAAGGCTTATATGTTGAAAAAAGGCCCAAATATGCAAAGAATAATTAATAATGACAATCTAAAAATTGTAAATACAGTTTTCTTTAGGGGGGCAGTTGCCCCCTGCCACCCCCTCTCCTCCGCTGTGTAAGGCCCAGGGTGACATCGATTGCAAATCCCACTTCCACACTTGATTAGGTTCAGAATTTGAATCTCGCATGTGATTGGCCATTTGTAAAAATATGTCAAACCGGTTTGGGAAATAAACATTGCTGTAAGCTAATTATAGCCTGTATTAAAATATTCTATTAAAGTCAATACATGCTTGGGCATGTATTACTAACATGTCCAGTCCTGCAAAACTGATTAATATGTTTATCTCCTGAGAAATTCGATACCTTTTTCACCTGTAGGAGTATTAATATTCATGCTTGGTTGAGTTTAATAGAATATTTTAATACAGGCTATAATTAGCTCACAGTAGTGTTTATTTCCCAAACAGGTTTTTCTTAAATTAAACAGGTTGTTTACAAATGGCCAATCACATCCAAGGTCCAAATTATGAACCTAGTCAAGTTTGGAAGTAGGATTTGCAATCGATATGTCCAGAGGCTCTCCGTTCTTGCCTCTTGTTTCTTTCACCTTGCAAAGAGCCTCTAGAACCAGGGTACACTTAAAAATAACACACAGGCAGACCAATTGCTGCAATTGAACTAAGTACCAGTCAATATAAGTCCCTGCCTGCTCGAATCTAGGAAGTGTGGGGTTCATGGGGCGAAGCAGGGTCACTGAGACAAAACCAGATATTCATACAATCCAACAATTTTGATTATGCAGTGCTGAAAAGTAAAAACTACCAACTCCTGGGTTGGGGGAGGTGGTAATTTACATTGACTGGTATTGTACACTAAATAGATATGGGGTGCCATTGATCAGAATCATCAGATGAACAGCTGCCAGTTCTGATGTCTCAGGACTGCTGTGATTCAAACATGTTCTGGAGATTATGAGTACTATTTTAACTTTGCTACACACTCATATTTTGGAACAATTTCCAAGGACAAACTGACTATAAAGATCTGTATAAAATATAAAATATAAATCTTACTTTAAAATTTCCATCATAGAAAATGCAATTCACCTGCCTGCAAAAAGGTTAATCCACTTGGAACGTTTTCCGTGGTTGTGGACATTCATTCCACATCGAATGCATCCTGTCCAACATCAGCGATTGCCCAGTTTGTCAAGCAACAACGTTGGCAAATGTCGAAGCTCTTGGAAGGCCTTGGAAAGACAGCAAATATTAACGCTGAACATTTGCCTCGGCGACTCGCTTTGGAGAGGACGAAAGCGACGAAGAAAGTGAGGCGGCTAGCCGATGAACCAGAAGACGAACAGAACGAAACCCTCGTGAACAGTTTGTTAGCAAAAATAAGCATTTCGCGAAGGTCTGACAATCGCCATTTTGCCAACCGGATATGTACAGTAATGAGTGTGTATGAGTCATGCGATACTGTCCTGGATCGTTGTGACGCATTTCCGATGCGAGATGAGATGATATAGGTAATATTTAAAAATATTTCGGCTGTGGTGTGGGGAAAATAAGTTTAAACTTCCAAATCTACCAATTTTTTTATGTGTGTGTTAAGATAGTGCAAGTGAGAGTATACTATTTTACGCGCGTTAAAACACTGTTATTCAAACATAAATATTTCGCAGTCTAGATCGAATTTAAAAAATCCCCCCGAGGAAATTAAAGAAGAAAGCATGCTTTATCAGAATTTCTCAGTTTTGGAGTAAAAAGTTTAATATCGAATGTCACGGAGGGCGTAGAACAAGGTGTTATTTTCTCACTCCTTTTGTTTATATGTTTCGAATTTCAAGCATTCTGATTGGTCAAGGACGCAAAATGTAAACAAACGCGCTGATTGGCTAACATTATTTACCCTTGTTATGGTAACACGATAACTTTTTAAGAATATTTTTACTTTTAATTACAAAATTATCAATTTCTCAAATATATATAAGTTAGGTATGTTATTATACGTAATATAAGCTTCAATTTAAGGTAAAATTCAACCACAAACGCTTCGCAAAACGTTTTAAAGTGTTCTTTTAATATAGAACTAAACTGCCTTTTAATAGTTCCGAAGATCCGGGCTTAAAGCTTTGCAATAATACCTTTACGTGGTGTTTCCACAAACAAAACTATTATAAACTGCCTTTATCGATAAACTTTGAGTTCGAAATAAAATGATTCCAAATTCTCCCATACAAATAAATTTGCTTAGTATAATAATAAGTGTAATCAATAAAGAAACACTGAAATAATACGCTGTCTTGTTTCATATTTATATGCAACGATCGGCTTTTAAAGTAATTACAGTATATTAAAAGCAAACAATGCATCAATATTTAAACAAACTTACCTTCTTTTAGCAATTCTTTTGCCTTTATTTCATCAAATTGAATTGATATTTCATCATTGAAATTTACAAAATCTTGCAAAATGAAATATATTTGCAAGAAATCATCAAATCTATTTTCGCTCTCGTCATGCAGCCGTTATAATGCCCAATTTTAAACTGGATCAATCAGTGTTGGCTATTCATGACAGTCCGCTATATTATGAGATCAGTGAGGATGACCACCTCCCGAAACACGCACAGTGACCCACGCCCGCGATAACTGATGAACTTTAGACTTCGCTAATGGTTTCGTTCCCCCGGGCTGTCAAATTACTACAATACGTTATAGCTAATTTGAAGTTGAAAGGGTTCAGTTTTTTTTATACACACTGTATAAGGCAATAGAGAGTAAATTATCTTGCTACTTTTAAAACTGTATGTATAATGTTTATGATTTTTTTTATATAAGAAAGAAAATATGAAGCGAAGAAGTTTAATTAAGCGAATCGAAAATGCTGCAAATTTGATTCAGCCGTTTGACTCCTCATATAAACAAACATCCAGACCAGGTGTTTGTCAGATAAATTTCGTTAATTTAAATTTGACTGCCGCGCGCACTGCGCGTATTAAGGTACAAACTATAGAAATATATTGGGCCTTACTTGTATGCCTTATCTGCCGTTACATGCCAAAAGTTTTAAAAGAAATCTAAAACAGAATACAAATCTTTCACCCAGCTAAAGCAAGAGCACAGTATACAATTTTATGTAAACATTGATCATATTTCACTGGGGAAACAATCGATTGCAAATAAATACGCTCCTATAAATACCCAAAATATAGAATTTATTAGAGAGAATATCGAGCTAAATACTCTGTATATTAATGTACTTATTTATTCTTCATTGGAAATGTTCAGTTCAACAGAATTGGGAAATCGACCACACAGTGCTTCACGCGAAAAGCGGTTATTTTATAATCGCTAACATTATCAATTAATATCGAATAATGATTTTGGTTAAACACATGTTCTGCCGAATACAACACTCAACAGCAATTTTCTGAGGATCAGTGCCTTTTCTTGTTGATATGTAGAACTAAAGAACCGCCTAATAGACTCAATTTGTGAACTTATATGATTGACGAACTGAAACAATTATAATTTAGCGATTAGAAACAATTATAAGAATTATAGAACACTTAGATTTAAATTAGAAAAAAAAAACAAAAAAAGAACGCATTTGGAATTAAGTAATTTAATGACATTTTAGAGACATAAAAATATTTATCTTCGAAAAGGAGATGTGTGGTCATTTGTCAGTTACAGGTAAACTACGTGAAGCGTTCCTCTTTTGACTTCGTAACACATTTGGAATTTTCCTCATTAGCTTTGCAAATTTGAAAAACTCTTTGCAAATCTCTTGAGGGAATTTGCAATGTTCCTATCGGCTGTTGCAATATTCCGAACTTCATTTTAAATTTTCCTCACTTCCTGTTTTAATTTCCTAACTTCCTGTTCTGTTCTGAGCGTTGTTATTGGTCGATTATTTTTGTTAGCCAATTGCAACGCCCAGAACAGAACAGGAAGTTAGTCTCTCCCTCCCACCCCGCCCTTCTGCTAACTCTTTGTTTCTCCCTACGAGCATGCTCGACAAGGTTAACAGCCATATCTTAATACCAATGAGTTAGCAGGAAAGATAAAGAACGGTTAAAATTTACTTGGAATTTACCGCGTGGCTCGATTGTTTAGGATGCCCTCGCATGGTTCACACTATACACATGCGTAGACCAAATAGAACACGATATCTCTCTGAAGAATTTCAATACCACACTGTCTAATTAACTAGACGCTGCATAACTTTCTGTATGCAAATTTGGTCAAAGCAATCAACAATCAGAGTTGCAAAAAAGCTGCGGGCATGCGGGCATTACCCGTGAGGAAGGTATACTATAGGTGAGGTCAGTGAGGAAGGTTTAGTGGTCAACAGTCGCTAACACTGAAAAATGAAACAAATAAATCATAGTTGAATAGGCAGTTGAGGCTGACCTATAACATATTACAAACGTTAACGTTATTGTCACCATTGTGACTACCGACACTTTTTACAAATATAAATACATTGATCAAGTCATACACATTCATTACTGCCAATCTCTTTATTATTTATGTCTCATTACAATTGGTATGTACAAATACAATACATTTTCATTATCAGCAGTATCATTACAACTTGTGCATCACCAATATCATCACAACCTGTATTTCACTACAATCATCATCATTATTCTCACCATTCTAATTTTACTAGTCAATCAGAATGAATTAAAAATTTCCTATTTTACACCAACCATATATTACTTAATTGCCCAAGGTCAGGGCCATTTCACATCACTCCAGGATCTGAATACCCTGCAATCACCTTTTCGATATAATACTAAAAGAGAATCAAACGACAAATGTCTTACTGGCACACTGGAATATCATATAATTGCTATAAAATAACTGTCATTTGAAACCACATTTTGTTGTATTAGTAACAGCACAACTGCTCAAGGTTGCAAGGTAAATAATAGAGATGTAGTAAGGCCAGTATTACTGATAATTGTCTTTTTACATTTTGCTCACAACCAAAGTCCAATTTTATGGAGCAAAAGTTAGAATATCCAGCCACTTTTTATTACTCACTTAATCTTACACTTGACAGTCTTGACAAGTAAAATTGTCTGGTGTTGGACAGAGAAAAATAACAAAGTATGCCATATTTGATTATCCCATATTCCCATTACAGAGCCTGAAATAACGGCCGGCGGTTTTCCGACCAAATTGCAGTTTTTCCGACCAAATTGCAGTTTTTCCGACCAAATGCTGACATGATCGGAAATTTCGTCCGGACAAATGTTGGAAAAAAAAAGATAATCTGTTTTTTTAAAACTATCGGGTCGGCACTCAGCACAGTGAGTGCAGTATCTATATAGTCTTAGATTATCTATACAAGTCTTCTATAGAGTAATCAACTGGAAAGTTATCAAAGTTTCTTCGATCAGAGTATGCTTTAAAACAAACTTTAGTTAGCTTAAATGTGTGACAGTGCATGAGTTACGAGTCAGAGTGACTGCTTTCATTGTTGTTAATTTGACGACCTGGAAGATAAAGAATGCGTTTCCTCGACGTTTCGAGCAAAGGCCCTTCATCAGGACAGTTAAATAGGCTGTTTATTACAAGTAGAGTGATTTACTGCATGCTTGACAGAATTTACTCAACGGAGGAGATCAAACTAAACTAAAAAATTTCCGACCAAATTTGAAAATTTCCGGTCAAATTTAATTTTGCTTGGAAGTTTTGCCGGACAAATTTAAAAATTATTTCAGGCTCTGCCATTATTGCAGTGTGATAACACAAGACTCTCCCTTGGATGGGGAAATTGGGAGCTATGGAGATTTAATCGCAAGAGGTGGGGGAAACATTTTCTCCAGTAAAATTTATGGGGGCCATTGGAAATTTATGGGGGCCATTGGAATCATCAACCAGAGTATTGAGGCAATAAAGAACAGAATACCTGACTGTAAAATTAATGTAATCTAACTTTCTTGTCACACAAAGTTAGGTAACGCCACTTGGCATTTTCACACTTTTCTATTATTATCGTACTATTCTGTTAAGTATTTATTGGATGAGTCAGAGACCAATGGATTGGTATGAGGGCAGTTAATTTGTCATTTTTGCATGTATTCATTTATCAACTTTTGACTACTGTAATGGTCAGCCACTTAAATAGAGATTTTACTGAGGGTACTGCCTAACTATTTTACATGTCAAAGAGAACTCCAGTTATGAAAAATTGAATATTTTCTGAGCAAGCTGGAACAGAAAATTTTGATTTTAGTGAAGTAAGTGAAGGATGGAGATAACCAAAAAATATATCAGGTATGAATGAAGCTAGGAGGGTTTAGATCCAAAAGCGAAAGATGGAGGAGTAACTAAACGAAGAAAACTAATTATACAAACAGATAGCCACGAATCTGCTGGAATTTAGGATATATAAACTGATAAATATTAAAATATATGAGAATATAATTTGATATATGCATCATAAAATTGTTTACCTCGAATATACTGCATTCTTTATAGCATAATTCAAAATCCATGTGACTTCAAAGTTTATAATTTCCATCAAAAT